CGTCACTCATGATGATGTTGTGGCGTATCATCCCCCGGGTCCAGTCCTGCGAGCCGTGGTCAACCACCACAACTGCATCAGCCCCGCAGCTCTGTGCTGCCTCTACCTTTGCAGCAAAAGTGCATACACCTCGATCGACGACCAACACAACCTGCCGCAGCAACGAACAAACCACACGGCTGTAAAAAAGATGAACCTGTTGCTGCTGCTGCTGCAACTCCTGCTGCTCGAACTGCTGCTGCTGCACCGCAGCAAGCTGCGCTGCAGCAGCACCACACAAATGGAACGCAATAGAAATAGCTCCCACCCAGAAGAGATACACACATGCAGCTAGCAGCTCGGAGACACCGACAGACAGACAGAGAAAGAGATAGAGGAAAGGAGGAGCCGCCCCCTTCTGCACTGCAGAGCAAGTGCCCAACAGCAGCAGAGAGAGAGAAAAAGGAGACAAACGGAGACAGTGCGCACCTTGGCGAGTCCCCCCTGTTCCGCGGTGCTCTTCCAGTCGTCAATGTCGTCCTTCAGGCGCGTGCAGTACGAGGTGTCACAGTGTAGCCCCGTCTCCGTCATATCTGCCTCCTCGCGTCGCTCGTGGGGGGTGTAGAAGGCTCTGCCCCTGCCCAGAGAGTGCAGCGAAAGGAAACAACAGAAACACGGCTCCACACACAGCGCCCAGCGAAACAAAAAAGGAAGAGTCGGCAGGAACACACCACTGGCATGTGCTGCAGAGAGAGGGAGAAGCAAACGCATCAGATATCTGCTGCAGTAGACTGGAGGAGCAAGAAACAGCAGCAGCAAGAACAGCAGTAGCTGGCGAGAGGAGCGACCGCAGCAGCAGTGTTGCAACCACTGCATCCCGCAGCAGCAGCGGGTCCAGAAGCAACAGCAACAGCAGCAGCATGCAGACTCTACCTCAGTGTAGTGCCGTATGCAGGGGTACCAAAGGAGGCGGTGGAGCCGATGATGGTGTAGAAGTTCTCTTCAGATATTGCCTGTATTGAGACGAGTTTATCCAAGAGCCGTTTGGGGGATTGCACTCTGAGTTGGGCCCCAGATTTACCTACGAGTCCAACAAAGAGCAGCAGCAGCAGCAGCTGCAGCAGCAGCCACGGCTGGCCCCCTGCTGAGAGCAGAGCCATCTTCTGCAGGGTCTAGGGTTTAGGGGTCGCAACAGCGAAGGACACCCCTGCAGCAACAAGAGTAAACCCTGTCACTCGGAATCGAACGCGTGCAGCAGCCGTCAGATGCCTCCAAGAAGAGGAGGCTGACGGGGCGGCAGAAGGCAAAGGCAAAGAGAGCAGAGGAAGAGCAGCAGAGGCAGCAGAGAGCCCGCGCTGCTGCAGTTGTTCGAGAGCATGAATTGAGGCGCGTGGTGCAGCAAACTATTGCTGCCGCCACAAGAACACGGGGGTCCTCAAGAAGACCTTCTCATGAAGTAGAAAGCCAACAAAACAAACCGGAAGGAAACAACAACACCGGCAACAGAAGAACCACCAGCACCCACAGCGACTCCACAGGGGGCCCCCGCTGCCGGTGAAGCTACGCCGAGTTGACAAAACAAAGAAACAACCGCCAACAAAACGGGTTTCTTGTTCTCTCATAAGCATTACAGCTCTTGACGGGGGGCGGGGGTTGGCTGCCTTGACGGTGGTTGCATGCAGACTGGCTGCTTGCGGGCTTCGGCTCCACGAGGGACAGGAGCACAGCAGTTATTTCTTGTATTGTAACAGTTTTGACGGGGGTTTGGTTTAAAAAATGCTGCAAATTGCTGCTCAGGTGTATGCACACTGCTCCACTAGGACACACACCTCCACAGCAGCTGCTTGACCTCTGCATATACTGTTGAACACCAGCAGACGCGGAAAACACCAAGATCAACAGACTGACGAATTTCCAGCTTCAGAAAATATAAAATATTTGCAGAAGCACCGTGTTTATACAGGTAGGAGCCCGCAATGATGTGGTTTTTTTAACAGCGTTTCGCCGAGGCGGACCAAACTTCAATTCACGAGTTAATAGCATACGCGGAGACACTTGCAGTGGCATTTAGCCGCGCTTGAGGCATTAGTGCAACTGTAATACTACGTTGGAGTCGCTAGCTTGCTGGCCTACAGTGGTACTGAGTGTATTCGATTGGGGTAAGGGCCGTGGTGAGCTGCAGTAGAGAAGATGAACTAAAGACAACAGCTCGCCAGGAGCAACTGACATCCTCTCCAGGCTACGGAAGTACCGCGCACACAGGCACAAGTTCCTAGGGCTGGTGCGTAGAGGAGTTTTTTCTATTCGCAGCGTGGCTTGCTACAACCCGTGCTGCGGGGGGACACCACAAGCGAGTAGATCGAAGACCCTTCTGACCTTTTGATGTCTGCAGTAAAGCCGCACGGAATTGTTAAACGCATACTCGACCACCAATATCTAGCCTGCGCGGAAAAAGGAATAGATGCGCCCAATATAGAGACGTCATAATGCATCTGCCGTCATCTCTTTTCCCAAACAGCAGACACCCGCATGCGCCACGGCGCCCAACTAGTGATGAATGCACTGAGGAGGTGGCAGGAGAGGGCCAAAACCGAGAACACATAAAATAGGAGAAAAACAGCAGGCAGAAAACTGCGAACGGTAACGGCCAGTGCTGGCTATTTTTGCTGCTGTCGTTGCCGACCCGCAACTAGCTACGGTCAGCTCGCACGATGGCGTGGTCACCGCGCGAGCGGATCGAGTTTAGGGTCCCTTCCGTTGCATCTGGATAGAGAGATGTTTTGCAGTGAGCGTACCACACACGCAACGGAAATATTTCGTGAACAGCTGCAGACCCGACTCCAGATACGTGGAGAACAAGGAAACCCTTGCGGGAGTTCGGGTATGAAACTGGACCTCGGGTTCAGCTCCTTAGATTTCAGGGAGGAAGTGATATATTCATTGGACACGTCAATCGTTTACCACCATGATCTCTGTAGCATGGTCTGTCTGCAGATAGTTGGCCTTGGTAGGTTGCGTGTAAGCAAATGCAAACGTTCTATACGTACATTCAGCGGTAAAGCATGCAAGAAAGGAAGGCTCGTTGAAGCTTCCTTCTCTGCACACGTGAGGCCGCCCTGTATTACCAGCCGCAGCGAGGGGCGCTGCAACCGCACTTCAGGTTGCCTCCTCCGCGCAACACCCAGGCGCTGAGCTCAACGCCCAGGAGGACAGGGGAGGGAGGTCAGCTGCTTTTGGGAAACTCTTACTTTACGTCTTTCCCTACATTGCAGCTCGCTTCTGTCCTTTAAGGCCAGAGAGCAGGCGTCATATTACCGTCCTGTTCACTCTTATGTTGAGCAGATTGTGGACGGGCGGAGCTTGACCGTGTAGCGAGGGCAAAAGCTCTGTACGAAGCGA